CCTAAGCATTCAACCCTAAACCCTAAACCCTACACTTACTAGGTCCCGGAACCTCCTAAATCCCAAACCCTCAACCCTGAATCCTAAACCTCAAATGAGGATAGCAGTAAGGAAATTAATAAAAGTATTGATAGCAATAACAGTAGTAATATTGATAAATGATAACACCAATAATTGTAGTAATAGAAACGGCCAACCCTCAACCCTAAACCCTAAACCTTAACCCTTAACCCTAAACCCCCGGACGAGCCTCACGGAACCAAGGCAGGTATTTCTCGCACTTCACGGAGAGGCCCAGCGGGTCAAAGTTGAAATCCTGCTGCCCAGGGTTGACTAACGGGTTTAGGGTTTAGGGCTTAGGGTCAGGTTTAGGAGTTTAGGATTTAGAGATTTGGGTGTGCAATTTAAGCTTTAGGATTTTGAGGCTTAGGCCTAGGGCATGGGATTCCAGAACGGACATGGAATCTGAAAGGGGCCCTTCCTATCAACAAGACTGGACATATACCCGGCATTTGAGCCGTTGCAAAATTTATGGGCCCCTTTTTAGGAGTTCCCATAACAAGGTGTAGAATGTTTGGGTATTGAAGCCCCCTGTACCTGGAAATCACAAGACATGCAAAAAGCTTGGCTCCCTCCATAACAACTATGACAACTCGAAGTCTTCCTTTTTTATGGCTACTGTTTCTGCTATACCTACTATACCCCCAAATCCTCAACCCTAGACCCGAAACCTAGATATACCTACTATACCTACTAGCTACTCCGTAACAGTCGTTAGATGCACTGGGAGATGTAGGCTCTCCGTAAACCCTAAACTCTACTGTACATCCTAACCCAGGTTAGGATTTTGACCTAGGGTAAACAAAATCAAAGAGCACTCTAAAAGGAGCCCTAAGAGGGTAAGTGCTCTTTGATTTCTTGGGTTTATATCCCTCTTATGGTCATAAAATCCTAACCTGCCCTAACCCACAGCTCTGAACCTTAAACCCAAGGTTCCGGGCGACAAGGCGCAAACTTGCTAAGCGTGATATGGGGGCTTCCCAAAATTAGGGGTACCCTTTTTGGAGGTCCCCATAATAAGGACTATAGTATATTGGGGTCTATATTGGGGCCCCTCCATTTTGGGAGACTGCCACATGGATGTATAGTGAATAGTTTGGCGTCCCCATTCTGGGAACTTGATTCAAATTCCTCAACAGCAACACTGACAATCATAGATACATTGGGTCATTCCCCCTTACAGTAACTGTTACCACTCTGGGTGATAGGAGTCATAAGAACCCCCCTTAATAAGGCCACTTTAAGTTACTGGGAGGGGGATTGACCCAATAGATACACATCTCCTATCCCGGCCAATTCTGTACCTGAAGGGATCCGCCCGCAGCGCTAGGGTTTTGGATTAAGTGTGTAATTACGGGTTGTTAGTAGGGAATGAGGAATATATCATATAAGGCCTACATGGGACTATATTCCCTTATTCCCTAGCAAGAACCAGTAAGTTTAGGATATAACCAGTTTAACCGCAAAGTGCGAGAATGTCGAAGGCGGTTCTGTCAGCGGTACCAGCAAGGAAAACAACCACACAAACGAAGATGCTGAGACTTTGCCACTGACAATCTTCATGTCACGGGTAACTGTCAGCCAGAACCTGCAAGACGGAGGGGTGAAGGAGCAGAGGAAAAAGTAAACCATAAACGGTCAATTTCTAGGCCGAGGGCCGTCTCAACGCTCCAGTCCCCAAAGCCAAATGGAGGTTTTTCAGAATTTGCGGCCCCTAAGATTACAAATCAATGTACATTGAGGCCCCCCTCTTTCAGGAATCACCCAAAACCCCCCATCTCTAGAACCTCGAGCCGAAAACTTCACGAGCAAAAGAACCAAGCAGAAAAAACATCGCCTGGCCCGCAAAAGCGCTCTCACCGCCAATGAGCCCGCCGGCGAAGGGCTTCTCGCTGGTGGTGCCGGTGGCCTGGTGAAGATGTTTAGGGTTTAGGGGTTTAGGGGCTTAGGGTTTAGGGCAGACAAATTGAAAATGAAATGGAATCTGGGGGTTGATGTGGTTTTGCTATCTCTATATACGTATCCCTATAACCAGGACCTATAGGAGTCAAACGATATGTAGTCGTAAGATCCTAGTTTTGGGTGCTGGAGTAACCTAAACAAAGCCTAGCTAGACACTTAGAATAATTCAGAAGCACATAGAGGAAAAACCTGGAAAATCAAATGGACACTGGGTTTAAATAGGGGTTGGTCTAAAACGTCAGGGGTGCCGGTTTAGGAGCGAACTAGGCTAAGATTATTGTTTCGTTGTTGTGGTTGTTTGGCCGTTGTTTCGGGGCGTGTTTTTTTTGTTGTGGCGAGGCAGTTTTTTGTTGTTGTGGCAGGGCATGTGTTTTTTCATGTTGCTGCGCGGGGGCGTGTTTTTTGCTGTTGATTCGGAGGGGCGGTTTTTTTGTTTGCCACCCGGCCTGCAAGCCTCCTAACCCTAAACTCTCACCGCCTAAAGCCCTCAAGCCCAGTAGCCTGTAGCCAATACCCATGAAAGTGAGAAACCACTCCGAAGTATAGATTTAAGGTCATGGGGTTAGGGATTGGAGCACCCGTGTGTCAGTCACCAGCGGTCCAACAAAATCGTAAACGCCACCAGCTAGAACCCTAAACCCTAAACCCTAAACCCAAACAGATCTAAACAGTAGAAACCTGAAAGCTCAAGACCAAAACCTGAACACCTTTCCCCCGTGTGGTCTCTTCCCCCCAAAAAGAAGAACCTCCCACTGCCCGAACAATAAACATTCCCAATGCGGTATGCCATAACCTAGTGGTAATATCTAACACTAGGGGGGATGGGGTGGCGTTAAATATCAGCCCAAAGCCCTAATAGAGCAGTTTCCAAGTTCTGCTCCATTTCCCATAAACCCCATTTATCTCCTTTCAAGGGTGGGTGGGACTTTAATATTAGTGTGCGTAGCGATTATCCCTCCATCCTACGAGCAGTATACACTGCCATAGGCCTCCCTGAAACACTACTCGGAGGTCCAGGCAGACTTTCCAAGTAGGTAAATAGTAGGGATACCTGGGTGATTATATGGGCTTTATTCGTAACTCCTAGTATCCCCTTAATAACCCCCAGAATAATCCCCTATAATCCCCTGTATAACCCTTTCAGGAGTTTAGACTACAGAGTATATGGCTTGTACGGTTATGCAGTAGGCTTACTAGGAGCCTTGACCTCCAAGTAGCCCCTAAACCACTACCAGGGTTTAGGGTTTAGGCCCCTATACCACTACTTGGGGCCAAAGGCTCAAGTTCTGGGCACCACAGGGGCCTGAATAATTACCAATGTCCTATGGATGTCTATGTAAGATACCCTAGACCCTAAACCCTAATTCCTATTCCGCGGGAACCTAGGGTCAAAAAGTTGGCTATTAGTCTTCTAAACCCAAATAACCCCTAATCTAACAGGGGGTTATATGAGGGATAAAGGGCCTAGGGTGTAGGTTAGTAGAAAGGGGACTACTATAGGGGTTATTAGGGGGGATACTAGGAATTTAGGCAAAAGCTAAAACAACTCCAGCATCTGTTTCGTTTTCCATTCATGCTCCGTTTCATTCTCCACTACGGTCGCTACATGCCCCTGTTTGTTCGAGCCCCTGCATTCTCTGGGACATTTTAGTACAACCACGGCTTCAAGACTACCCAAATCCAGCAAAACTTTTTGTAGTTGATCAAGGTACCTGTCCCCAAAACCCTAAACCCTAAACCCTTGGCAGGTTCCCCCCTTCAGGAAGTCTATTCCCCATGGTCCCTTCTTCACACTAACCTTTAGGAGAGAACAAAAAATCATATGAGCCATAGTCTAAACTCCCCCTTAGCAACCCCTATAGTAGTCCCCTGTATAACCCCATTTTAAGGAGTTTAGGCTATAGCTCGTATACTATGTAGAACTTCCCGAACCTCTGCCAGACGGGCGCTGCTAACCTCAATGGCATCGGGGTGCTGAACTAGGGTCGGCTGTGGGAGCCCTATAAAGCAATTTGTGGGTTTAGGGTTTAGGGTTTAGGGTTTAGGGTTGCATAAGGATTCTATAGGCATGATGGGTAGTAAAAAACGTAGAAATTTCAAATTATAGTTCCCCGTCAGTAAATAGAATATGGTCTTTGTATATTAAAATAGGTTCCCCATACACCCAAATTCTAGTTACTTAAGGGGGACTATAAGTTCAAGTCTACCCCTGTAAGGGAATAAAAGGAAGCTATGGGACAGTCTCGGCTCTGGTGACACAAACTTTTGGGGTGCCTCTAAAGGTACCCTAGACCCTGAACCCTAACCTACTGGTTCTTAGTAGGGAATCAGGGAATATATAATGTAGGAATTATATTCCATTATTCACTACTAGGAACCAGTAACCCTAAACCCTATACAAGATATTGGCTAATTCTTTGCTAAGAACCTGTAACCCTAAACCCTAATGGGCTTTGGGGTGGGGGATTGGGACCGCAGCTTGGCGTTCACAGTTCAAACATAGCTTTCCCCTTGGCAACCTTCAACTTCCAATAGGGACCTTTCAAGGGTTATGTAGAGGATATGAGCTATAGTCAAAACTCCTAGTATCCTGAACCTTAAACCCTAAGCTGGGCAGGGGCAGTACTGGGGGGGCTGCTACAAACTCTAAGCCTGCGACTTGCTCCCCAAACTCTGACGCGCCGCATCACGTCCAAACCCCCAAAATCCTGAGCCTAAACCCTAAACCCTAAACCCCAAACCCCAACCCTAGAACCCAAACCATAAACCCTAAACCCTAAAATCCCAAACCCTAAACCCCAAACCCTGAACCCCAAACCCTAGATCTGAATCCGAGAGCCCTCGTCCCTATACCCTCAAAACCCAAATTCCGAGCCCTCAAAATCTTGAAACACCCCAAACCTCAAAGGTTTAGGGTTTAGGAAAGTTGAGGGTTAAGAGTTTAGAGTTTAAGGTTTAGGGTTTAGGAAAGGTTCAGGGTTTGATGGCCTCCACATCCGGCAATCCCTACACCCTACACCCCCTAGTCCCATGTGCTAAGCCCCCAGCGCATAAAACTCTACTCGTAAACACTCTAAACCCCCAAAAAAAGCCTATACCCATTCCCAAGAGTCCCACACATCCTACACCCCTACTGGTGAAACCCCTTAACACCCTACACCCCTACCAGTAGAACCCTTAAGCTCCCTACACGGTTTAGGGTTTAGGGTTTAGGGTTTAGGGTTTAGGGTTAGGGTTTAGGGTTCGAGACAAACCCCTAAACACCCCACGATACGTCAAATACCCCCCTGATGGCCATGTCTTTTTTCTTTTTCTTTTTATGTGCTTCTCCATTCTTGAGGTAATATGACTGAGCCTTGTATATCCCTGTATAAGGATAAGAACCCCCTTACATACCCCTCTATCCCTAAACCCCTAAACACAGAACACTGAATACTCCAAACCCTAAACCCTATATCCCTAAACCCTAAGCCCTGTGTACCCTAAACCCTAAACCGTAAACCCTATATCCCTCAACCCTAGACCCTAGACCCTGAACCCTAAACCCTGTATACCTCCTAAATCTTCACCCAACGCCCTGGCGGCCGCGGAACGTTGCGCGCTGCGCGGCGGCTTCCTGCCGTGAGCGCAGAACTTAGAGTTTAAGGTCTAACGTTTGGGGTTTAGGGTTTAGGCTTTAAGGTTTAGGGTTTTAAGTTTAGGGTCTAGGGTTTAAGGTTTGGGTTTGAAATTCAAGGTGTAAGGTTTAGGTTTACTGGCCAGGGCTAGGCCCTAAACCCTGAGCCCTAAACCCTAGGCTTTTGGGTTTGGGGATGAGGGCCTGCTGCAAGCGCCAGGGCTGCGGAGGCAACGGCGGAGGCGGCTGCTGCCTGGCTTCGACTCAGCAAGTTGAGCTACAGTACTGATACATTATAATGAAATTATGGTTCTAGGGTAATATCAGGATTATATGAGGTTTGGGATGTATTATCCCAATGATGGATACTCATATGGAAAAGAACATGGAAGATGAAATAGAAGCTACTGAGTTTGGAGTTCGCGGATTAAGGGGTTTAGGGTTGAGACGTTAAACTCTAAACCCAAAAAATCCTAGACCCTAAAACCCCTAAACCCTAAAACCCCTAAACCCCTAAACCTTCGAAAGTTTTTCATGCCGGACCCTGGCCCAGTCGTCCTGGCAGCAGCAATTCTATGCCCTCTTCGGTATCCAGCAAGCGGTGAAGGGTTTAGGGCTTAGGGTTTAGGCATCCGCCCTCAAACATGCCGTTTGCCCCTCGTGATGTGTAAAACGGTCGAAAGTCCCGCAGGTCCGTATAGGGCATAAATACATTATGGGTTAAGGGTTTAGGGTTTAGGGTTTAGGCTATAGTCTAAACTCCTTAAAGGGGGTTATATAGGGGATTATATAGGGGATTACTATAGGGTTTCTAAACTCCTTAAAGGGGGTTATATAGGGGATTATATAGGGGATTACTATAGGGCT